GGGACTTCTTCTTCTGCGACGAGGAGACCGAGATCGAGACCGAACAAGCGATCTTGAGTAACTTTCGTCCCGCCTGAAATACAATCAAAATAAAATGATTAAATCCAGAATTTAAAAAACATGAAAAAAAGACGGTGTATTTAGGCTATAAGAAGTGTAGAAATGGAATATTCAAATGATACCTGAGCTTCTTAGGACTGTTCTTACAGTTCCTCTCAATGTGACCCCTATCTCCACATCGATAGCATTTGTTCTTCCAGTCGCCAGCAGAGCAATCTCGAGCCCAGTGGCCATCAAGACCACAGTTGAAGCAACGACCAGCTCCTGGAGGAGGGCCTCGGCTAGAGGAATATTCTCGGGAGCCACGAGGTGTCTACAACAAAAAGAAACCGAAAAGAATTAGACGGAAAATAACCTAGAAGTCTGAAACCAAGGAAGAGGAGCTTTTTAATAAAATAGCATTATACCCCTTTCGCAAATTCCACAATGATGCGGCTTCCATCAAAGTCTCTTCCGTCCAACCTGTACCTCGCATCATCAGCATCTCGAGGATCACTGAAATCCTGTGATCAAACAGTGAATATATATACAAGACAGAAGAGCCATCAATAGGACACAGCTTACTTAATTGATGGAAAAAGGGTTACACTAGAGAGTTATAGAGCAATACTACTTACGATGAAGGCATAGTCTCGCTTCATGTCCAAATCTCGAATTCTGCGGAAAACGGTTTTTGCCAGAAACAGTAAGGACATCATTATAATTTTACTTTTAAGAACAGCTACTGGTGTAGCTAGTGTTATGATACTTCACCATCAACAACGAACAAAACACCAGATTGAGATTGTTGCCATTTTCACCATTAAAACACGCAATAACACTACAAACAGAACCGCCAAAGTCCCCTAAACACCATGTAAGAATTTCCACCAAGGGGACCCCTCTCTCTCACCATAAACCTCCAGGTCAAGAAACCTTCAACAAAGATCATTCAGGTTAATATATGCTACATTTTGAGCCACAGCATTCCCTCCCATATAATTTAGCGAATACAATATAATTCACATGTCAATTGTTATTCAGTCCTGGGTTAGGTTTAGTCCAGAAAGGCTCCTACAAACCATAATATGAGCTGAACCAAACATGTATATCTAAAAGTCATAGCTTTGCTCAACCACAAAAGCTGACTAAGTTCACAATTCGAGCAAAATAGAACAGCTGAAAACAGATAAAAATTACCTTCCATATTTGCTGAAGAGCCGTTCAAGATCTCGTTCCCTTGTTCGAGAGGACAGGTGGCCAACATAGAGACGTGTGCTGCTGCTGTATCGATCATCATAGCGAGGCATCTTCAAGCTACAAACAAAAAGAAATGATGTTTGAAATCTTTGACCTTTCGAATAATGAAGACTGAAACACAGTTCTAACTTCTAATAACATCAAATCGTATAAAACTAATATGATAACAGAAGTCTTGATCTTTCGAATAATTGAAAATTTTGCAATCTCTCATTCTGTATCAAATCTCATCAGTCAGTCACACACGATAAAGAACAAGATTACCAAATAGAAGAAGAAAAAAATTGGTATTATACAAATGATGCAATAGAAAATTGATATCAACTGTATCATCTTTTAGCATATTACACAAAAGCTGAAACCTAATCCGATTACAATACGCACACAGAAACCAGAAAATTTACCCCAAAATCAATAGTTAAATCAAAATCGCAATTTGCACAAGACCCAGTAACATGTTTTCGAACCAACTTTGAATCGGAATCGAATCATATGATCAACGGATTTCAATGATGGCCCGAATAATTCGAATCAATATTTACACAGAAACATCACAAACATCGAATTCTCGAGAAATGGAGAAGAAAACAACTGTAAGAAGAGCCATAATTCGATATAAATTTTCCCACCAAAGCCAAAATACCTTCCGATCAGATAGTTCGCCGCACTCGGTATAGCTTTAACCTAACTTTTGTGTTTTATCTCGAAACTGTGCTTTCCTCAGATCAAGAAACACAGATAGAGGAGGAAAGAAAGCATCTGACGGTCAATATTAATTGGTTTCAAACCAACGGCACAGATCTCATGTTAAGGAA